CACTCGTCGTCGTTGTTGATTTCCTCGGAAAGACTTCCATCCATAATGGGAGCTAATAGCCGTGTTTGCTTTTACAGAACGTCCGGGTCGCTGCTGCTGTTCCTGAATGCTGAATCTAGAGGTTGTTTTGGTGGCGTTGCTGCTGCTGCTGTTTCGAATGCCATTGAGGTTGACTATGACTCCGCTTCGAGGAACACGGCGCCACCCGACACTCAATCGGCTAAAGTGAGAATCCTGCTCAGGTGTTGAGTGTTACAAGTTCGTGATAATTGATGCACTCCCAGTTTCGGTTTTCAGCCCGGGCTTGTGACGACAGCCCCTCATTCCCCCACCTACGGCATGGACTCGGGCTGAGATCCGGAGCGGGATTCGCGTACTGTGCGAGGATACCTCCGAGAGCTGAAAGTGAATTCTCAACTTGTGATATGATGGAAGGGGGAATCAGAGTGGACATTGCCCCACAAAAAAATACGAAGGACAAATGGCGCATGCATCTCGATTGATCTCTTTTTGGTTGGCGGAAAAGCGGAGGAGAAACTTGATCGGGAGGATCTGGGACCGTTTGAGGAGAAGCGGGATGAATGGTCTCGTCATTATTGCCGTCTCGATCAAAGTGCTCGTGACGGTTCCCCTCGGAAAACTTAGAGTTTATTGTGTTCGTTTACACAATGATCTCCATTTAGGAATCTCCACAACAGCAACACCGAGGGGAGGATTAACGGTCAGTCAGCCTGGAGCAAGAGGTCATCTGCACGAAAGAGACACGCAGTCTGGGCCTGAGTACAGTTCGCGGAATTCTCGCCAGCTCCTGGAAACGCTTCAACGCTAGCGAATGAGTGAGTGATATCTGTTCCTGCCAGGTCCCGAAAGGGTGATAATTGTTGGAAGGAATTCTGACACTGAGCGCTCCTCGACGCTCATCTGGAACGGCACGTCGTTTGAAACCATAACATCGATCCATACCAATCCTGGGTCTGAAAATATGCGAGCCGGGGAATCAGAGACACCGCGACGGCGCGGAGTCAATGACATCTGAGCTTCCATGTTAGGGGGTTTCGGCGGGTCTCAAAATCGAAAGAGAAGACTTTTTTGATATTCTATAGGGAATTATTTCATATTTCATATCCGTGATCGATTCGCGTAGACTCGATGTGAGACCGACGATACTCCCGTCGATAACAAGAATCCATGGACGAGAAACTTCTCTCCGGCTCGATACGATCCTACTAAAATGGACCACAAGGAAAACTTTCTAGAAAAATGCATCCGAACTCGGTCTTTTGTCCACAGAGCCTGCGAGGGAGAGGCTAACAACTTTGACTGCCTGAGTGATTGTTTTCAGACGTCTCGAGGAGAAAAAGAAAAGAAACAACGACCGAGAGAGTCGGCGGCTCGAGTCTTTAAAGTGGGAGCAGCCACCCTTCGAGAATAGCGAAAGATACTCCTCGATACAAGTGACACTGAAAGGAAGTTCATTTATAATATTTCGGAGACGAGCTTCTCGGTTCTGCACGGGGTGTATCAGACATCAACTTCCAGTCGGGGAAGCCCGAACAGGGGATAGGCTAAGCCCACCCTAATCTATAGGATGGAAAGCTTCTCCGGAAATGACTCGATCATCGAATTAGTTTACTCATGTCGGGCATTTCAGACCAAGAACATCAAGTTTCTTGCGTTTCGAGGTTCCAAGAAAATGGAGGCTGGATAGAAACAAGACGGTAGAGCCGGGTCGAGATGGAAAAACAGAAGGCGACTCCGAGATGATTTATCCAAACAACACTTCGAACTTCATAATCGTGTTAGCGCGAATACCTCGCGAGACATCGAACCCGATTCCGAGTCCCTCATCGAGTACACGACCTTGAGAACGAGGTTGAAACACCAGATATATTTTCTTCGGCCGCGCCGGGTACCCCGTCGGGTGCTACTGTAGAAGCAGCGGGCCGGGAATACCCGGTTATGAGGAAGTTTTCTTTCCGCCGCTCCGATTGGGTGTATCTGGATCCAGCGTGAGCCCCCTATCGAGGAAGTGTCGTCAATTCCTCGGGTTGCCGACGCTCCTGTCCCTGAGAAGACATCGGTTGAGCCCATCCGAGTCACGAGTCGCTCGGAGGCCTCTCCAAACAAACATATATCTTGCTTCATCGTCTTGCAACTGCTGTCACACACGAGAAAATGTAATGACTAGCCAGATGACAGCGGTGGTTGCAGTTTACTCCGCAGTTACTTCTAGTCGGCCTATTCGAGTTCCATTGGGTGCGGAACGGGTCTCAGCGCAGCCTACGAGCCTCTGTGGTCATCATGGTCCATCTGGGCGAACCTCTTCGTTTTCGCTGGTCGTTGCCGATGCGGCCGCTGCGCCGCCAGAGAGTCCACCCACGAGTTTGTTTGCTACGATACAACTCATGCATCAGCCCTGCGTACACAAATTCGCGGCAAGGAGCAATAGAAGATAATAGATAACTATCAATACTTCGGGAAGACTGGCTGACTGACTGACTGACCAACCGACCGACCGACCCAGCCGCCTGAATGCCGGCCGTCGTTGACCGCTCTGTGGATACGATTTATGGCTCAAATATGGCTAGTAGTATGTAAACAGCGGAATCTTCCTCGACTATATAGCACTCCGGGCGGGTCGGCGCACAACCGCGACCCATCTGACGGATGAAACCTACTCCCCAAGTTCTTTTCATATGCTGAATTGAGTACCGATAAGGGATTACCGATTCGCGGTGCGAGCGATATGAATTGGGAACAGATCAGAGATGACTTGTATGAGCTTTCTGGAACTATTCTCTCCCAAGAAGCGAAGTCGATTCCGCGCTCCATGGAAGAAATTGAGGGGGTATCTCGGAAATCCGAGGAGTTCTCCCTGTCTCCATATCGTCGGGGCTCGACTTTCTTTTGGTGGAGCAGTCTGCTGGTTTCGTCGATGCTTGCGTACCTAATTCGGTGCTTCAAGTCTCCGGGTGCTTCCAAGCGAGCTGAACCACTAGTTGACTAGCGGTTCTTGACTCGGACGGGACTGTAATCGCGCGAGATGGTGCGAATCAGTACCACGAGATGTCTCGTGGCCGTCTATTTCTGGCTTCTTGGACATGCCGATTCGCTAGTCTCTGCTCTCCCTCCGATCGGTCGTGTACTCCACAAACTATTTTCCGAGTAGTGGGCTGTTTGTCAAAATATTTCCGAGGCTCATGCCGGCTTCGGCTGTCGTGACCCAGACTTGTTTGCTCTGCGATCGTTGAAACAACAGTATCGATTCGATGATCTGAGGATTGACAGATCGGCGACGAATTACCGTCGACAACTCGGTTCTCACTCTGAGCTACTTCTGCCATCCGCGCATTGGCCTTTCGTGATCGGAGCGTCGGCGCGTCAGTTTTCCACCGAATACTATGTCCCTCATAGAGGGAAGCCTCAAGTCAAAATAGCCCCGAGTTTCACATCAGGCAGGGGTATTTCCTCTACGCGGAGTATTCCCGGGTCAGAGGAGGAAATTCAACGAGTTCCTGAGCGAACAGGATTCACTATCGAGCATACGAAAGTCGAATAGCAGAGCGGCTTTCATTCAGAGTATGGCCATACGCGGTCGTCGGAGGGCGAGAAGCGGCTACTTGAATCGATTGTGATCCGTTGTTCGCATGCAGTCGCCGGAGAAAATCACCTCAGATCATCTGAAATCATCTGAGAGATCACCAGCACCACCATCGCTGGGATGCCACCCTGGATTCGAGTGCGCGGCGCTTTGATCTCGATCAGAAGGAACTCGAACTCGGCAAACTTGAAGGCGCCTGAGGAATTTTCTCCCAATATTTCCTCTCGTTCTCTCGACGAGAAAAACAGTTTGGACGACTGCAAAGAAGAACTTTCTATTTATCTCGCAGCACGAAGTGAAAATACATTCTCAATCGCACAGTATCGAGGAACAGCCGAGAAAGCTACATATGGCTATCTCCTCGAGACATGTCAATGCTCCAGGCATAGGAACACAGCCCAATGCAATTCGTCCGCTCAGCGAGAGACTGAGTGAGCGAGTCTGAACTGTCTCAGATTAGCTTTGAGTTGCAACGAAATTGGACAGGTTCAAGCGATAGATGGTCACGTGTAACGCCTCATCTGGCCACCTAGAGTGATAATCCGCGCTTTTTCAATCTGTGCTAAAGCTCTTCCTCTCTTTGGGAAAGTTAAATAAGAGCTCCGAGCGTAACTCTCGGGCCAGCGCGGCGAGCTCCGCTGCGGAGAGCTCGCCTCTGTCTTCTGTAAACAGGTGCTCCACAATTCTCACGCAAATTTGCATCATTATGATTTCGCTGATGCGGAATCCAATTGCATCATTGACGGACTCGCCGCTCACTCGACGGGGAGTTGCTCCGGGGAATCCTCCCATAGCCGGGCATTGATCGCGGCTCAGGATACGCGTCGGTTTCTGGACGACAGGCAGACAATTGGCTGCTCTGAAATTGATCCACTCGCTGACGCAAGCGTGATTGAAAAAATGAGGACAGTATCTACGACGAACTGCCTCCTGTCCACTCTTTGGAGCTCTGAAATCAGCCCTCTCAATGAGGACTTGTACAAATCGAGCGATTTATCGCCTCTGGCATTGAGCTGAATTCTTCTGAAAATAATGTACTTCTCTCAACGATTTCGAAAGCTCCTCGAACACAATGGGCGTGTGTGGTCCCATCATGATAGACCCTTGAGCTGAGATCATGAAGCTCCGGATGAGAGGAGAAATACATTTCTTTGTGATCGCCTCGAAATGATCCGGGCCAGGACGGATTGAACTGTAGTTTTGGAGAGGTTCGATGGATCGACGGATCCGTGTGAGTCAACAATCGAGTTTATCGAATCCAATCACATGAATAGACAATGAACTCTTTCCCACGAATTACCGACCTCATGGGATGTCCATGAGGGTGGAAATCGGAGCTCAAATCCTTTATAAACGTCACGAGGAATGTTTCGACCACCGATCGATAACACAACACCTGTCCCGCTTCAACATTTATTCACTGTTGGTATATGAAGCTCTCAGTGATGGAACAAACGGAGTCCCGTGTGGACGAGGGTGATGCCGTGTTCGTCACAAGCCTGAATGACGCCCTCGTCGTTCGTCGAGCCTCCCGGCGACGCTATATATTCAACGCCGGATTGTTTCGCCCTAGAAAGTAATATACGATTGAAAGAAATATTGCGCTCATCGGCGAAATCGATTGCGGAGAGAGAATCTCAAGGCCCCCGAGTGGAGCTCGGAAGGTGCAGCCAAAAGTTGGAATCGACGGTCACAGAACTGATGCTCACCGATCAATGTTGTCCCGGAAGGGGAAGAAAGCATCCGATGAAATCGCAACCCTGTTCAATTTCGAAATCCAATCCCGCTTCTCGATGTCTGTGAGTTGTTTTGGCGGGTTCTCGAGAGAGTTCTGGTAAACATCCGCGGGCATGTCGACGCCAAAAACTCCAGACACGTAAACGTCTATGATATTGGACTGTTCGGCTCGCTTCACCCCTTTCTTGAATACCATCTTCTTGACCGTTGGATGCTGCCTGAGCCACCAGTTGTTGACCTTGTCGCCTGCGAGTCGAGTGCAATGAATCCGAGACTGTTGACCGGCTCCGATGCCGATGACCTGACCGTCCTTTGCGTAGCACACCGAATTCGATTGGGCGTATTTTAGAGCGATCGTGGCGACGATCAAGTCTCGAATAGCAGACTCGGGCAGATGCTTGTTCTTCGAAACGATGTTCTTGAAGAGCTCTTTGTTGATGCGCGCATCGTTGCGCTTCTGCTCAAGCGTCAAGCCGAACAAGGTGCGGATCTCCATGTCGCCTGAACGAATCGACAAATTGTACTTCATCAATGTTATCAATAATTAAAATTATAATTATCATCTCAATCCATCCTGGAAATTTTCGAAGTTTAATGTCTTTGACTGGGGCCACGTATCACCTACCGGGCTCGTAATTTGGATTCATTTGTAGCACGCAGTAGCCCCCGTTCTTTTTCTTGCGGAGGATTTCCATCGCCTCGGGAGTATAGCCGGGAGCGATGATTCCATCGGAAACCTCCCTCGAAATAATTCGCGCGGTGATTGCATCACACGTTGACGACAAGGCAATGAAATCCCCGAATGAAGACATCCTGTCAGCACCTCGAGCGCGAGCGTAGGCGCAAGCGATTGGACTGAGTTGGCTGTGGAGGTCCTCGACCATGCAGAGACGAGCATCATCGACGCTCAGCGGCACTGCCACAGCCGCTCCGGCGGGACTTACGTGCTTGAACGACGTGGCGGCGGGCAAGCCGAGAGCTCGCTCGAGCTCCCGTACCAATTGCCATGCATTGAGCGCATCGCACAAGTTGATGAATCCGGGGGATCCGTTGACAACCATCAGAGGCAGCTCGTTGGCCGACGTGCACAGCTGAGCGGGTTTCTGGTGCGGATTCATCCCGTAACGGAGTGGCAGGTGTTGAACGTTCTGCATGTATTCTTTGCGGAAGTAATCCGAGATGTTCGCATCGTATTTGGCTGTGAGGAGGAAAGCTTTTACGGCGAGCCTCTTCCGTGTTTCCAGTGACGTCGTTCTCGTAGGGGAACGGGAAATTTCGTTGGCGACAGCCGTGTAGTCCGACGGGTCGCAGACGATCGTAACCCTTTCGTGGTTTTTAGCAGCGGCGCGCAGGAGGGTCACGCCTCCGATGTCGACTTCCTCGACGGCTTTAGCGATGGTGACGTCAGGCTTGGAGATCGCTTCGACGAATGGGTACAGGTTGCACACGACCACCGATACGAATTCGTAGTTCTGCCGCCGCATATCAGCGATGTCTGATTCGGTTTTCCGGGACAGGATTCCTCCGTGGACTGCTGGGTGCAGGGTTTTCACCTAAATGCGTGAAGGGGACACACAACAATAAATGTACGAGCTCTAGAGATTCTCTAGAACCTGATACTCCGAAGCAATAGGATTTTTTTGGCTCCGATCACGCTCACCCTGCCACCGAGCATCTCCGGGTGTCCGGTAATTTGAGAAATGTCGCGAATCTCCATCCCAGAGTCGCGAATGGCCTTGGCGGTCCCTCCGGAGCCGGCCAGCTTGTAGCCAGCCTGGGCCAGGGCTTTGGCCATATCGAGGAGGCCAGTCTTGTCTGACACGGAGAGAATCGCGATTTCGCCCGTCATCCTTGCTGTGTTGAGCAAATGTCGTGTTAGCATCGATATAGGGAACGGGGAGGCAGGACAATCCGCGGGGAAGAATTAGTGTTCGATGCAACGAAATCCGGGAGGCAAACAGTCCGCCACCAGTCATTGGCTGACATTCGGCCACTGTCGATTCCAGAAAGATATGTTGTTAAAGTTGATATAAGGCGGGAGATATTCCTCGCGTATTTGACCGAGATAGCTGACCGAGACACAGCCCGACCTAAGAAGTACAGGACGGAACCCTAGGGCTTCGAAATGTTCCAGAATAGGGGTGCGTATATATGCTTCGACTCTTCAGGTCAGGATCATGTCATGCTGCATGAACGAAACGGAATCACGGGCGGAAAGTCTCTGCCACGAAGAAACTGCCGGGTAATTAACAGTGGGACCACAGCTCGTTCGAATCAGAGGCCTCACCCCAATACTTCGGACTTGCCTCGAAATTGAAAAGTTGGATCAGTCGAGGAAGCTTCTTGAGTCCTTGAGGGCTCCCGATTTCCCCGCGAGGAAGCTTGGAAATTCAGTGGAGTAACTCACGCTCACGGGACAAGCAGCTCCCGAAGTCGTGAACTGTCTTCCGGCTCGAGGGTCTCAGTCGACTCTCGTCGGAGGAGGCGACTGGTAGGATTCCGCGAATTCTACAGATTTCCGCAAAACCGAGCGCTGATTCCCTGACGGCCGATCACACGAAAAACTCGTTCCAGCGGCGTCGACGGTAGCGACAGTGAGCCTTTTCACAATAACAAAGATGGCACTGGAGAGGGCAGGACAGCACCGGAATAGCGACAGACCTCACGTCTCTCGTCGACGTCGTCGAGGAGCGCTCTCCATCAACGGACGCGTAAGAGAAAACATCGGTATCAGTAGATTGGATGAGATTCCGACTGAGGAGCAACCGCGCGCCGAGCAGACGCAGAGATTTGGAGTACACGGAGATTAGATTGCGGCGCCAGTGCCTTATCGCGTGATCATCTCCATCATTCCGATCGGATAAGCGGTAGATAGTTTGCGGATAGCTAGTATTCGCTGCTCGGAGGAGGTATCCGTCCATTTATCGATCGTTCCATTCTACGATGGACTCATTTCACGGTTTCAACGAACAATGAGGCTTGGAAGCTCGCGCATCCACGCCTCGTAGGCTGTCCACCATGTGGAAACTCCAGACGGATCTGCCAATGTCCCCCCGGGGGAAAACGAAGAGTTGCCGGAAGACAAGTCAATCAAACTCAAACAATTGTCACGTTTCAATCAATAATATGATTGCTGCAAGAAAAGGAAATTAAAGTTTCCTCCTAATTTCGTTCTCGTTCCGTATCCATGAGCTGCGCTCCTACACAGGCGAAGCTCGACCTCTCGCACTAAAATGAATGAACATGTCCGTATATATTCGTCTGTTCGGTCGTTCTCTACACTTCGAGCCTCGAGGGCTTCCGTCGAATATTATGTTGACTTATCCGGAAGGGTAAAAGGCAGCTCCTAGAGGATATTGGCCCTCATTCGGAGGAGAGGACCTATCATTCGATTCGGAGCAAATCTTAGACATAACTGAGTCTATTCGACTTTTGATTGGCGGGTTTGAGGCTTCGATCGAGCTAAAGCCATCCAATGTCTCGGAACAGAACCGTACGAGCGAACATGACACGCGTCTGCTCGCCGGAATCGCGGTGGGAATCTTCGAATCACCCCGAGAGCATCAAACTCGGAAAGCCACTGACCTCTTGTAGACTATCGCGCTAAGGATCGTTCACTTTTGACAGTACTGGACGCTGTACAACAAACGCTGGTGTTTCGGTTCCTTCCGGAGACGAGAATCGAAACGCGGACCAGTCTAGGAACACATACCTCGTTCTATGCTGCCAAGTGCGAGCCTAGACTGTGATGGAATAACGAGAACTCACCTCGCTTCGCTGCCATGACCACCGCTGGTGTCGATATCTCGCGTCGGATCTTATCTTCTAAAGTCGAGGAGGGCATGCCAGTGGAGCGTCAGTTACAGCAGCAGCGAGACCGGCAAACTCATAATGACTTTTTGGACGCAACAAATGCTGATCTCTGCGCTCATAGCTCATATATCTCGTCCTCGAATCCTCGACTCGAAATCAGCGGATTTGTCGCTCAACCAGACTGTTGACTGCGATCGCCTATGGCAAGGCTAAGGATGAGATCGGTCATCTTTCAGATTCAGCGGACAACGATAGAAAACGATACCGCGGGCAGAATGCGGCGGAAAATCATCGGCGGCTCGCGTAGAGCAGAAAACATCGAGACCCAACTCATCTCTACCGTCTCTTCCACCTGTCTAGAGACACAGGTTCGATCCCGAGAAACCCAGGACCAAGGGCTGCACTGTTCGATGTATTGGAAAGTCGGATGAATAAGCGAATCACGACGACTCCTCGAAGTTGCGCGTCTCGGGACCATGTTTATTGACCGTTCGCTGGGTTCGGCGTTTCCTGCTGAATCTGAAGAGGCTGAAGGAGTAGCCGGTCGTTGGCCAGGTCGGCCACTAGCCTCTCAAAAGTGGATTTGCGGCGGAGCCAGGCAAAGCGCATCAAATCTCATCGGGGAGAGCATCGGACAAAGACAGACTAGCCTCCATTCCTATAGAGGTCAAAGAATAGTGGTCAGAGAATGAATCCAACCCACCTAAGAAAATCCGACTCGTCAAATCTCGTACCATCGGAGTCTGGAATACCGCTTTGGTACGTCCCAGAGAGTCTTCTTCAGCCGAAATGGTTCGGGACGCGCCCAATCCATATCACGAAAGTAAGATATCGAACTGAATTTCCCTGACGAAAGCTAGGCGACCGCTTGAGGAAGTAATCAGCTCGATCGGTCGTAGCAAGGCTCAATTAGCGCAGGAGGACCCCGAAACTCGAGCTGGCGACCGGAATAGCCTATTGATGTAAAGAGCTGTTGTGAGTATTTCGTGGAGCTTTCATCCCTCGACAGTGGCTAGATCGAGATTGTACACAATCCGTCGAAGCTAAGCCGACGTTTATCCCCAAGTGGATATACACGCACACACATACACAAGTACAATACACTGCCATTGCAGCAGACCTCATCATAATTCTTTTCTATGAGAGCACAGAACGAACACAATGCGTGCCTCTGATATGATTGGCACTTGAAATGGAGAGCATGCGACGGACCAAGCCAGAGATGCACCGGAATTTCTCTCGTCCCGCGGACGTTCACCGGATCGGAGTTCGAATAAGGCCAGAGGCGAGGACTTCACGCTCAGGGATCGCTGTTTCTCCTGATCGACAGGGGGTGCTCGATGAATTCGTGATCACTCCCACCAAACCTACTCGGAGACAACCGCCCCACACTCTCCGAGCCCCTCTGGGACGAAGAGAGAGGAGGGGGAGCGAGGATTTCCGACACATGGTCCTAGAGTAACAAGCGGCCAAGTGATTCGCCATGTGATAATAATAGTAATAATAATCATCATAATAGTGAGAGGGGCGTCTGGTTGATTCGACAAGCGTTCGATTTGCAAGAAAGCATTGCTTCACTGAGGCGCTCACCAATGGTAGGACTCAATTCAAAGCAGAAGTTTAGATTTACAAAGCAGAAACAAACTTTGTTGGTAGCCTTTTCCTCATCGGGAATGACTGACATCGAGAATGAGTGCTCCTGCAAGCTACGAGAGCTTAGATCCGCCGAAGAGGGAACACACGTTGCTTCGTCCATTGAGTTATGAAAAATCTATAACTTATCGTGAGACGTTTGACATGAATGGATATTGCGTCGTCACGTCATCCATCAACGAGGTTGGGTTTTCGAACCGGGATTTTTCTCCCGAGTGAGCTGAACGCCATCGGGAATGTCCAGGTGCGAGCCAGTGTCATGATGAAGGATTAGACGCTTTCCTTATAGGAGGTCGATTTTGACAAAACGTCCGTAAACCACCTAGAAATCGCTCTGGTCGCTGCTTAGTGCGAATGGCGAGGGGGGAGGGCTCCGACGTGGAGCGTTGGCGCTTCTGCCACCAGTCGTCCAATAATCTCTATTACTCCCTTCGGCGGTGTTTGCCGCTCTGTCAGACCACACAGTACTCGCAGCAGCAGCAGCAGCCGCCTCATCGCAACCATATTGAAACCACATGGCTTGCAAGGGCAGACTGACTGGTTGCTAAGTCGGTGGGTCGGTCGAGCGAGCGGGTGTTTCGCGACGCCTCGAGGCTCTCGCGATCCAACGAGCCGTCGGCTGTTTGCCGGTTGACGCGTCCCGTGCGCAATATCATATGAAGAAGTAAGAAGGAACGATAGAACCAATATCCAAGCATTAGTTCGGCGCTTGCCTTGTCATCTGGCTCTGTGTACCCTTCTACAACAACCGATGTACCTAGCCAACAGCCTCACGTCGACCGGGTGATCGAATCTTCCCCATACGAATGAGAAATTCGATTCGAACGAAGTTCTCGTTATATTTTCGGAAGACAAAAATCTATCACAGTTCATCTCAATGTTTGCATTTATCATAGACCCCGTCGCCACATCCTCCTGACATCGGGGAGCCTTCTAAACTTCTGAAGAGAGAAGATGGAAGCCTAGAGGGCGGCCTAAATTTCCTTCAAGGTGTCCGCGACGAGCTTCGAGCTTGCGTCGGTCAACATAGCGTCCACAGCATCATGGATCGTCATGCCTGCTCGGATTGCAGATCCGAGCAATATGTGGAATCCTCGGAAGACCGCCATCAGGAAGCCTAATGGATTTTTGCCGGTGAACTGGAGTACGCCTTGCAAGTAGAGGAAAGCGAGCATGCTGATCATTATGAGGAAAAATGTCCGGAGCTCGTCCCAGGCCTGTGGAGGGATAAACCAGCTAGATACGCTCAATTTCCGTTTTGATAAGCTCTATAGGGTATCCGCCTCTTCTCAGGTCACTCATCAGTGAACTCGTAGCGATACTCACTTCGGACGGTACTCCATTGATCAAGTCTTGAGTCATGAGATCGATCAGCATCCAAGCTTGCTTGAACAAAGGTCGCAGTTCTTGAATGCTGTTCCGGCTGCTAGGAATAATGAATTCGTCGATAATCTCCTCTTCGATGATTTCTTCTTCGATTAATTCTTCCTCGATTTCCTCACAGGCTGGGGGAGATGCTTCTCTGGGAATCAGCTGCGGCTCTGACGGTACCCGTGTATCTCCCGCGGGCTCATCCCTCAGAGGCTGGTAGATCGGTGCGCGGAATTCGGGAGGTATCGCCGCAGCTTTCTTCGAAGGCTTCCGAACGAATGCGTGTCCTACATCCTCATCGATTGCTTTCTGTGGACTTGAGAGGCTCCCAGTGCGTTCTTTCTCGAAGAGTTCCTCATACATATTGTCTACGTTGTCGTCTGCCAACGATGTGCGTCTCGGACTGACCCCCTTGACGCTACCGCGATTCCGGCACAAGCTGTAAGGCGAGTTTCGAGCCTCCGCAACTTCAGGAGCGAGGAGTCCATGAGCTTCCGAAGGCTGAACGATAGGAGACTCATCACCGACTTGTTCCAGGGGCTGGGTGCGAGGTTGGAACGGTGGAATTTTCGGTACGAAATATTTAGACGGCTTCAGGAATTCCTTCTCCTTCCCTGTTCCGACTTTCGTCAAGTCTTCTGTGCTCGGCGACCAGTCACGACAGTTCAGCAAGGGGGGTGCCGTCTTTGGAGTTGGAGGTTGCTCGACGTTTTTGTCTCGGGCCAGTTTGCTCATGAATACCTTTGTGAGCATGCCGTCCGGGATCGATTCAGGACCCTGGACAGCGGGTCCGAATACCAGAGGCATGGGCGACGTTGCTTTCCGCCTCTCATCTTTCTTATTGAAACTGAAAAACTGACCCAACTTCGATTTCTTCGTGGGGGTCGTGGGTTCTCGAGGACTGGGTGGAGGCGGCTCGAGCTGATCGGATCTTTTGCGTTCAGCGCCGGCGTGCGACAGAGACTCGTCCGCTTTCTTATTTTCGAAGAGCCCTTTTATCTTACGAATAATTTTCGAGGGTTTTCTCTTGATCGGATTCCCCTCTTGATCCTCTCCGCCATCACCCACGAGAAAATTGCCATCACTTTCATACCAGTCGTTGAAAGATTCCGGCGATGTCGGTCCCAATGTCGACTCGTTCGGCATTTCTCGATGAGCCACCGGTGCTTTCGGGGTGACCAACGCCGCATCACTCGCGCCACCGTCAACGATGGCAACCCCTTCGTCGTATGCAGAATGACTTCGTTGGTCGGTCGGAAGACCCTCATCTCCTTGCGCCGTCTTCCGGGACTGATGAGGTTCGGTGGCGGCTCGCTCAACCGCGCGAGTTTTCGTGCAACTGACTGGAAGATTACTTCCGAGCGCGATTTGTGCGTCACGAACCGAATGTGGACTTCTACTCCGTTCTCGGCGGTAGGGGCGCTCTTTATCGAACCGTTCCTCCGGAATTCCTCCTTCGTCAAGCAACGGAAGGTCGCTCCTAGGAACTGCTGTGAGGGAGCTCTCCCCGACCGCCGGGGAATGATCGGGCTCGTCTATCGGTTTTCCGGAGAAATTTGCGTCACCATCAAAACAGGGCACCGGTTGCTTATGAAGTCGAGCCCTGACAGGTGAGGATCGTGACCGACCCGGTGCTTCTCGTTGTACATCCGTCGTGGACTCCGGTGGGGCTTCCGGCTCCGAATCTCGCTCCCGTCTTTGCGAAACCGTCCCCTGTAGTTGCAGGGGATCGGACTCGTGTTCACCAACCACCTCCTCTCTTAGCCGTCCTCGTAGCTCCGCGTCGAGCTGTTTCTGTGGATCCGCTTGCTGTTGCCTGATCACTCCTGTCTTTTGATGCTCCTTGAGCTCCTCTCTTAGACGACGCACTATGTCTGCTCCAGTCTGTCTCTCGAGTCCTCCTTGGTCCCTTCGATATACTTCTGTCACTCTCTGCCTCTCGCGGTTCACTTCATGTATTCTCTCCGTAATCTGTTGCTCGGTCAATTCGCCTTCATGTTGCTTTCGGGAATCCTCATGGTCCCGGTCCTGGAGCTCTTCACGATGGATCGCCAGATCATCATAATCAGAGCGAGGTATGACTGAAGTGTGAGAATCTTTCTCAGAGTCTTCACCCCGTCGATCGCTTCGCTGTCCACCCGTGGCCGGAACGTTCACCGACGCGTCCGGCCATGAGGGGTCTTGTCCTATACCAGAGTAAAGTTTCCGCGGTTTATCGTATATAGGTGCCCCGGGAGCGATGACGGCCTTCCTTTCTGCACTTGATTGAAAACTTTTGCCACTGACGAGAGGTTCCGAATCCTGTTCAGGTAGGACGTAGAGCGACGATGATGCTGAAACGTCTCTGAAGGTATCGTCCGAGACAGAATTTTCGGGTGATTCGATACTTGGTGTGCTTTCTTTCGACCGCATAGAGCCGGGTCTATGCCGACGTAATGGCGGCGTTGGTTGGACCCCGAGGCCTTGACGCGATCGTCGTCGCCTGACTGAAGGCTGTGGGTTGAGTTGAGATACTGTTGGATCCTGGAAGGATGATTCGATTCGAAACTGTCGGTAGCTCGACGAATAAATAATCGGAGCGGGTATTGTTCGAGCGCTCTTTTCGCTTCCTCTCCGAGCCACTCGAGAAGAATTTCCCCCAGGAGAGCTGAGAGCGATCGAAAACTTTTAGACTGCCGAGTGAACCCACCTGTGCGTCGAGGACCTGGTGCTTCTCTTCCTGACGAGGCTGCTGCTGCTGCTCGTCCAAAATCAAAGAATTCCGAGTCTCATCCTGATTCGTTCTGCGCCCAAGTCGTCGCTCCTGAGCGATACCGCCAACATACAGAACTTCGTAATACCTTTAAATCATGAGAAAACAAGTCGACTTTGGTTATAGACTCCCATAGTCATTCTATGTTTTGATATGGATAAATATGGATTGATCACCTATTTTTTCTATTGCCGTTCGATGGCAAACCGATTTTCAAGACCCGAAGCATCTTGGATAATGAAAATAGATCCGGAGAACATTCTCACTCGGTTAGACGATTTCTCTCACTCCGGTATCTTTCCACTGTGAGTGAAATTTATCTACTGGAGTGACTTCGACCCGAAATCTGTCGGAATGTGGGTCGGAAACGCATCGAAAGTCCGGCGCCTAGCTCATTCGGCGCACCGAGGGTTCGCGTGAGTATCCCGTTGACGAGTGCCTCTGAATCGTGAGTTTCCCGTCTTTGGAACGACCTGACATACGCGAGCTTCGGTGGTCCCCCGGGACCATCGTCCAGAGCACATTCGCTGTCTGAGGCGATAGCTCGACGGTGGAATCCAGCGAATACAATATATTCTCGATCACTTGGTGCAACAATCAAAATAACATCAGGTACACGAGATGTGTTCAACTCTCGTTATTCGCGTCGAGAGCTTATCCTCGATCTCGTGCTCGAGGAATCGAACGGGTGGTCTCCAATAGGCGTTTATATGTACTGAGAGATTAGGCAAATATACACTTTCCAATTCCCGAACTCTCTGTGTCTCCAAACCGATAAATGATATCCCGCTGCTAAAGCTCTCTCTTCACGCCGTCAAACCCGATCATCTCCCAGCCTAGTCAGTCATGGAATCGCGGGAGTCATATTTGGAAGAGATACTGAGTGGACAAGCTGGAGCGGAAGAAACTAAACCCCAACGCCTAAAACTAGACGCTGAGCACGGTACTATCTGCAGAAAAAGTCATGCTCTGCACGCTGTTGATGGCAACGATCGAGGGATGACCTGAACACTCACTTGTCGCCTCGGCCGACCCGGAGAGGCCTCCGCGGTGCACTCTCAGAAATCGGGGCTCCGATTCCGGGAGCTTCAGACTGCAACAGATGATTGATATATTGAGAGACCCAGTCTCATACTTGCGACGATTCCCCAGAGCCTAGAGTAACTCCCCGAGAGTTCTCGTTAGCTCCGGAAAAGGGCCCAGAGATGGTGATCATCTACAGCCGGGAAATCGGGCCTCGTGGAATGAAATGAACTGATCAGCACCACATAGCCCGGTCTGGTCGAACACGGAAAGCACAGCCTCGTGGCAGGGGGCTTCCACTGAAAACCGAAACCAAACTCACATCCATGAGTGAGGCACTTCATCTGACGGGATTTCTGATCTGAAAAGTTTCAATCCGAAGCTAACAAGACGTATTCTGTCTCTCAGTCGAACTGCTTCTCAGCTCCCATCTCTACGAGAGTCAGACCGCTCTCTGTCCAGTTTTAAGGCCGCGTCGCCAAGGCCTGAGCGTCGGAGAGCTGAGGCCAGAATAGCACAATACAGACCCACTGGTCACGCGGGCAGACACGCACACACACTCTCACATGGAAGCTGGCGGGCTCGCATAGACTCGAAAATGTGTCGTGAAGTACCTAAACACTCTAAATTTAGGTTTATCTACGTCACCTTTTTGTGATGACTATGTAGGTACTATATCTGATTTCAATGTTACCGCTTCGAGCGACCATGGAAATGAACGAGGTGGAAGATACGCTCTCAGAATCCGACGCCAGACGAATGCAACGGAAAGAACAGGAGTAGGCAATCAAAAACATTCTTCGGCCGATCATAAACCTCAATCATCGGAAAGCAGCCGATATTCTAGCATTTTTTTTAGCCTACTCGACAGGGATGCCCCGGCTGAGGCATTGAGCTGCTTTCGTCTTTCGTGGGAGCTTCTTCATCGAACCGGAGCCCGTTGTCTGTCGATCTCGACAATGTTGTTCGAATGAGCGGCAATTTACCGGAAGAGCATGACGTCGTTCTATTATTGTTTCCGTCGCTCTGGCTGAGGTCTGTTATGCTCACGCTTGTTAAGTCGCTGCCGACGATGAAGGTGCTTGTTGCCCTTTCGATGAACAGACCGACGATTCCAGCCAGCAATCGATCGACAGAGTGAACTCATGCGATTGATTGTTGGGAGTCTGATACCAGAGCGTGGGCTTGGTAGCCAAGAAGACCATTTCAATGAAAGTTGCGATTTCACGCTCTGTTTCTCCAATCGGAGCAGAAACAGGCAGATTCGTTCGCGCAGCCAATTTTCGTGATCAGTCGCAGAACGGCGTCGCATCGGTCGTGCTTGAAAATAATCTCGACATACATCTCGGGAGCTGCCCCAGAAAAAGAGGATGGAAATAAGAATTTCGGAATTGTATCTCGTGGGATTCTAGAGAGCATCGCGTTCGTGAAACTGATTTTTTGGGCTCCTGCGGTCGAAATGACAAGAGTCGAAGGCAGCCTCTCGTCCCACAGGAAGAACCAACCACAGAGAGTCCTGGAAGTTATCCAAGGAGAATAAATTGAATCCGCCAAGCTCCGCCTTTGAGCTGCACATCCTCGTCGCTCCGTCTCTTGGTTGGCTGGTTGCTTCGTTCTTTCGTTCGCTCGTCTGTTCGCCCGCTCGTCCCTATCTTGCCGCCACTAGCCGCAAAAGAAGCGTTGGTGGGAATCAGAGGGGTCCATAAATGTTGCCATTTGACAGTCCGATGGAAAAGGAGATGAAAGGAATCCTGCTCCCGTGAAAAGGTAAAGCGAATATCCCTTCGAGAAAGCTCCCGAAATCGAGCTATAGCGGGGCGCCCCGAGGATTGTGTCTGAAAATTCTGTTCGCGGACAGCTTGAGAGTTTGGCATGTATCCAGTCCCGCCTAGTGCCGATACCGATTCAAATATCGTTCAGGACTGCTCGAAGCTTCATCCATCACCAATCTTTCTCATTCAAGGTAGCTCCGTGGAGCCTCCATGAGCCGAGGAGGCGCGCCACTGTTCCTCGGACCCGGCCCGACATTGAGAGATCCAATTAGCCGAAGGCATCCTGGTTTACTCCTTCTCTTCTTTGTTGCGACCCAGTATTGTCCTGCATTGTGAGCCATCGCTGTGCTTGCGAGCAACCAGCGACGACATTTGCACCACAACGAGCGACGCCTTATATCACTTTGCCTTCACCTCATCGTAAGTCTAGGGGGCTTGTCGGTTCCTCGCACGGAGCACGAGAGACCACCGAGTGCCATTTAGAGCTTGTTCGACAGCCCACAAACCCTCAGGGAGTCTTTCCGGTACGAGAAACCCTGGTTTGAGGTTCTAAGCTGAACTTGTCGGGATGCTTTCCAGGGAGCGATCGGAGGGGGAGAATCCCCTGACTCAATCGCTGCGGATGACATCACTCGCTTCCACGAATTTGGAAATCGATGGCTTATTTGGACCGCGAGACGAGTCGACTCTCGCCTTCAGATGTCAGCAACGATGCTGAGCTCGTGTGCGGCTGTCACATTTTCCGCATCGACAACTCGGAGCGGGCCAGGAATCCGACACTCTCTCGAGGATCCTATCGATATGATCTCGTTACGGGGACCGCGTCAAGTGCGCGAAGCATCTCCTGGCGTTAATCTAGTCTCGGCAAATTTTCGCGTCAGTGACTTCTCGATGGCTCTTCGAATATTTCTCAACACGATCTGCCGACAAGTACCTGTGACTTCATTCCTCACAACGTGTAGGCCCGCTTCGTTGCGAGCAGAGACACCAGATGGATTCCTCCTTCATGACAGCCCTATATTATTCCTTCTTTTTACAATACGCGTGCTTGCCCCCAAACCAGAGGTGCCGTAACCTGTCCGTCTCCGAGATTCCTGGCGAGTCGATTTCTTCGCGTCATTCCTCGCTGTGTGAGTTCCCAGGTACCTTATCCACCGTACGAGCGCTGTCGAGCGAGCAACAACATGTCGACTTTTCGCAAGAGTCCACGATGTTCGGCTCGTGAACGGGGAGATTCCGCTGCGGTGCCTGGAAGGTCGAGGCCCTTAAATGGACTTGGTTCAGAGATTTCGCCCCGTTGATGTGTACGAGCCGAGGAGATCATCTCCTCGAGATTTTTCCTTCGGTCGGCCGGGATGTACTTCGGGATCGAAAGGATCGATGTCGACAGGTGACCTCGATCGCTCCTCGATCGGGCCCCTCCGAGATGCGAATGACGTAAGGATGGGGAACTCCGAGAGAGTAACGAGAAGAAGTAATAGATGGTTCTCGCTAGCGAAAATATGGACTGCAATCGATCCAACAAATGGTCATTCTTCGCGACGGGAAGCCGTCACTGCAGGCTATATGTACCGCTCCACCTGCTTGCCCCCGAGCCGAACGTATTCCCCGAGCCCCGCGACATCTTTCCAGCATGATATCCGACGAATGGACTCTATCTTTATGTCAACCCCCGAGAGACGGAGAATCATGCCGTATCCGAGCGGCCTGCTGGTCAGCCTGGAGACTTTCGTCGCTCAGAAACGTCAAGTTTATGAGATTCCACCCTCACCCCTGATCCAGGAGAGAGCGCATGCGAGGTGGGACTCATGGTACAATGCCGGGTCACATGGATATCATCGGACTATTAGGGTGGAGGATAATCCTGAAGAACCGGCCCCTGCAGAAATTTTATGTCTACGAATTCGCTGGAGGCTCTACTGTTGTCGTTCCCGCGGCTGTTTCTCGCCAAGAGATAACGAGATTGTCGATCAGGAGATGAACTCAAGTCATAGGGAAAACGGATCTGAGCTGATTCAAGTAGATAATCTCCCCGGTCGAGGACTTCCCGCGAAGAGAACGCGCAGGGCGCGGCCATCTTCGTATGTTGATAGCGTTAGCAGACGAACTTCCCCGGTCGGTCCGCTCAGACGCAACCTTATTTCGAACGTCAGCATTCAGGTGCTCGGATTTGGAGTCTCCTCCATTGAGCTAGGCGAAGTCAGATCGTGTCACGCCACCCAGGCTCCCGAATACACCCCGTGCCCATCTAGGCGATAAGTGATAGTGAATTCAGGGTCGAGAGAGCCTCGTCCGTGGGCGAAGCTCGAGTTCGAATCTTCGTCTCTGGCAATAGACTGTTCGTCTGTTCACTGTCGACTGTAATCATCGAGACAAGTGAGAGCACCGTATGCGACTTCGATAGGCTCTAAAAGATTCGACGTGGTCTCCGGCCACCCCAGTCTGTGACAGGAATCTTGCCGCTCTGAAATTCAGGCAAGTCTGTTTTCGAGCTTTTCCCCGTCCTTCCACCCGCACCGCCAAGCGATGCTGACGGTCGGTGTACGTGGTCTAGTGACTGATGGTTTGGTTTCTCTGGTGGTGATTCCCATTCTGGCGGTGTTCCCGTCGCTCCCGTGAAAGGAATCGTCAGGCCGTCGTTCGATGATGGTAATAGTCTGTCCGAGTAGCGAGGAATTCCCGAGTCAAGAGCGCTTTCGGGGATCCCGTAGAAGTTTGGAAGACCTGCGGCTGTCACGATGAACTGTGCGGGGATCACAACCGTGATCATAATCATGCTGTTAATTTTCAACGTCAGCTGCAGCAAAGTATTGTTGTCAGCGTCAAGGTTCACGTTCTCGACGGCGCACTTCCCTCTTTGTGGATAGATCATAAAATCATTCGGCCAACTCCCTGACTCAGGCGACGTCGGTTCTCCGATTGCCTCCTTCGAAAAGTTCAAGTCCAGTATCCCAGAGTGATACAGGATTTTTTTGGCGGATTCGAGATTTGCGCGACGGACGGCTCTTGCGTGTTTCCTCAAACAAATTTATTTTACGGCTACATATTCCTGAGCGTTCGCTCACTCATTCATCCGGAATCGTTCCTGCTACGAATTCTCGTTTCTACTTTGTTGAACTTGGCGGAAGCGATAGCGCTTGACCTAGGCTAACATGGGTTAGAATTTTCGTTCCACAAATGGTGTCAGAACTCTTCCTCTGATTTCGATAGGCGTATATGGCGACCACCGCCGTCTACATCTTGGATCTGAAGGGGAAATCTCTGATCTGTCGTAATTACCGCGGCGACATCGAGAACAATGCCATAGAAAAATTCCTCCCCCTGTTGATGGACCGCGAGGAAGAAGGATGTTCTACGCCAATCATTCGACAAGGTGAGCTGTCTACCTTGTGAAATTCCGATGTTGATATGACCCGATGCCGGGTCGGAAACTGGGAGAACCTCTCGAACTCCAACAGCTGTGTCGACCTCTTCCAGGAGATGTCACCTTTGTTTACATCAAGCACAACAATCTCTATCTCGTTTCTCTGTCGAAGAACAACTCGAATGTTGCCCTCATCTTCTCGTTCCTCCACAAGATGGTGCAGGTAAATAACTCGGTGTTTCTCCATTCGAAGCTGGAAACATTTGTCCCCGCATTCAGACCACCTCGTATTCGTCGACCTCATTCTTCCCCGAAAAATTTCACGAATGCAGGTTTTCACCGAATACTTCAAAGAGCTGGAGGAGGAATCCATCCGAGACAATTTCGTCATAATCTATGAGCTGCTCGACGAACTCATGGACTTCGGTTACCCTCAGACGACCGATTCCAAAATCCTTCAGGAGTTCATCACACAGGTATCGCGGCACTTTCGATTCGATTCCTGATCCATAATGATTCCCAATTACACCGTCCTTTCCGGGACAGGAGCATAAAAGCAATCTCGGAATTTAAGGAATCCCACAAAATGGAAGTTGCCCCGAAACTCCCTATGGCAGTAACGAACGCAGTCTCGTGGCGCTCCGAGGGTCTGAAGTACCGGAAGAATGAAGTTTTCTTGGACGTCATTGAGAGCGTGAATTTGCTCGCTAATTCCAACGGGACCGTTCTCAGGTGAATATTTTTGTTCCCGAGGAAACGCATGCGCACCGGGGAATCGCATTGAGCAATCTTCACTTATCCATTCTTCGAAGCAATATATCGAGAAGGTTTTTTTTGCCAACAGGTCGGAAATCGTTGGTTGTATCAAAATGCGAGTCTACCTGTCTGGAATGCCCGAGCTCAGATTGGGCCTCAATGACAAGGTTCTCTTCGAGAGCACCGGTCGTAAGTATCGAGCTTTCCCCAGAGTCCATATTCCTGATGCTGATGCGAAGCGATCAACAATCGTTGTCAGAAAAGTCAAATCATTCAGAAGTGTGAGTCATTTATTCCTCGTCAGGAGGCAAGAACAAGAGCGTCGAGCTGGAAGATGTTAAATTCCATCAGTGCGTTCGTTTATCTCGTTTCGAGAACGATCGGACAATATCGTTCATTCCGCCCGATGGAGAGTTCGAGCTCATGAGTTATAGACTAAACACCCACGTGAAACCGCTCATTTGGATCGAAAGCGTCATAGAGCGACACGCTCACAGCAGGGTCGAGTACATGGTGAGAGATCATCATAAGGGAGTCCTAAGGAATTTCTTTGCGTCGCTCCGCGAGTACTGCTAAGCTCGTATTGTCCACTGATCAGCGAGAATCTTCAACAGGTCAAAGCGCGATCTCAATTCAAGCGGAGGTCTACTGCCAACAACGTCGAAATCATTGTGCCGGTTCCGATGGACGCTGACAGCCCAAAATTCAAAACGACCATAGGAAGTTGTAAATACGCTCCGGAGAGAAGCGCGTGCATCTGGACGATCAAATCATTCCCGGTGGGTCTCTGTCCTGCGAAAAAAATCCGATTCGGGAAGCGAGATCCCCGAGGGAGGAAGAACCTCCTATATAATTCAGTCTCGAGCGGAAATGACAGATAATAATTGTTCTTGGGCACTAGGGAGGCAAGGAATACTTGATGCGAGCCCATTTCAACCTGCCGTCAGTCGAAAGCGAGGAGCTGGAGGCGAGAGCACCCATCGAGGTGAAATTCGAGATTCCATACTTCACGACATCGGGCATACAAGTCAGGTAAATTATCCTCACCTTCCGCAAAAAACACCCGAATATCCAGATATGCAGAATCTGAAGAGCAGACTCTGACTCCGCGCATCGGCGAATGTGCCGATCAGCACTACTCTTTGATAATTAGACTGAGCTCTTATATTTTGCAGATATTTGAAAATCATCGAGAAATCTGGTTACCAAGCCCTCCCATGGGTGCGCTACATCACGCAGAACGGAGACTACCAACTGAGAACGAATTGACGTAGATTAATCGAGAAGCTCAAAGCTTTATGTCACCTAATGGGCTGCGGAAAGAAGTTGTTGGGACTTCTACGAGAACGTTCAACCGGACCGCTACGGTCAGAAATTGGATAAACTACATTCCCTGATGAGTTCCTGATGATATCCGTCAACCATTTGAGTCACCACGGTCGAGTCACACTCCCGGATCTGAGTAGCAAGCAATATATTGATGTTGTATGACGTACACCTGGTGAAATTAGGCGACCTCATGATGAGTTCCTCGCTTGATGATAATTGAGGAAAGGAGAGCGAGCACCGGTTTCTTGTCCGAAGAAGGTGCGTCCGGTCAGGGATTCAGGTACCGCAGCCTGGTTTGGGAACGAAATCCATGGTGACGTCCGGTCGTCAGAGGCGACAGCAGTATTCGGGAATTCTCTTACGAGATATAAAGATGTAATTTAATAATTGATTACCATCTCTATCATTCTGATGAATAAACGTTGTGATTGACATATCCTCTTGACTTGTGCTCTTGGTCCCGATCCTTGCGTCATACTCGGCGTGTTGAGAAAATGGTGAGAGACAAAATGATCCGACTGCGGGATCGAGTTCCGCGAGGATTAGCATTTATTCGATTCGGGGAAGGTACAAATGGTGAATCTGTGTCATTCATGGGATTCATGGGGTCAATGTCGGTCATCGACCGGACCGCCTCATTCTTGTGCTGATGCTTTTATTGATATATATAACTTGAAATTGCGTATGTTATATCCTTTTTTGACGGGGGCGGTTTATCAGGCTGCTGCTTCGTTCCTTCTATCTGTCGACGACCAAGCCGGGAGCCCTACCTCTTCTGGAACCCCTTCCTCAACGAAGTCTGTGTCTCTGTCCGAGGATATCTTGACCGAAGCTACTGACGATTCTGGCCGTTTTATCAGAGGACTTTCTCTTAGGCTGTGACCTTGAAGCAGACCGCGGGGGTATAATCGCAAGACCAGCAAGAAACTAGAATATTCCTAGCTTACAATCAATGATGATCAGCGGGACGACAATGTGCGTCTCCAAGGCATGGCGCTGATGCGATTCCTCGATTTTCCTCGCGTGAGTGTCTGACGAAGGTCTACTCGAACATCGGACTCTCTGAACCTCCACGGGCGAATAATCCTCGAGATCTCTTATGTCCTCTCGATCAATGAGGTACAATACTGAGTCCTACCTTTTTTCGTTTGGAGCGCGGTCCCAAACTATCAAAACAGGACACCGCAGGATCGAACTCCGGAGTACTCCTTGAAAGTACCTGAAATACTTTTTCGGAGACCGAGCAGCTGAGGTCGTCCAGGTCCCGGATCTCGGGCTGACTTCGTCGGAATCAGCTCTGTGGCATTTGATCTTGCTCCCTAAAAAGCCGAAAAGTATCTGGCGAGTGAGCGAAAACGAAGATCCGACCCAGCTAAGACGCGACAACCGGATCTTCGCGAAAATGGTCACTCCTTTGGATCTGCAGAAGTTCCCGAGGAGTCAGATTCTAACGATCGCGAAAATTGCTGAGATGTCCGAGCGTTTCGACGACGTGGCGAAGGTCTGTTGTTGCAGCAGATTATGAAGAATCGGGATTCGGAACCTCACCTTGCGCTTAGATGTGTCCTTAATTCCACTGGTCCTCTCTTTTGAAATAAGGTGACGAAACAGTTGTGGACTCGCGTCAAGGACGACGGAGGCTTCCTGCCTGAAGAACGAGATCTTTTCATTGTGGGCTATAAGAACGCTATCGGTCGACGACGCGCATCGGCCAAGGTGTGAGGGCCTGATTGCCTGCTAATCATTAGCTGAAGCCAGACGTCTATCTCTTCCCGATCTTGGGGACGGTTCTGAGAATTCCTCCATCTGCAGAAAATCAAAACATTGCTGATGTCAGGCCAGCGGAGCGCCACCGATCGTGAGGATCTCTTGGAATTCTACTTGAACATCATCCAAAGAGAAATCATTGCATTGTGCAACGAAGTCCTCGCTGTGGTCGACGAGTACCTGCACGCCACGGAGGACGACTTATTATCGAGAGCAATTTTTCTCAAGACCAAAGCTGACTACTACAGGTGACTCTCGACCTTGACAGCGTTCCACCCCTTCGATTCTCGACGGACATTCCGAGCGACGCCGATCCCTGGGATCGGTCGTTCCCGAGAGCTCTCTCGTTGTAAGGGAAGCGCGCGAGTCTTCGGCTACCCACCGCGCGTCCATCCATGGAGCTAGTTCCGATTTTCATTCCTTGATCCCACAGATACATGGCTGAGGTGAAGAGGGGCACAGACAATCAACACTGCGTCGACATCGCCACAGCGACCTATGAAGAAGTCCACCAACTTGTGTCGACTCATCTGTGCCCGACAGATCCCGTTTTTTTGGGTAATACAGCGTCCTTTGAGCTACGTTGAGCCTCCCTGAACTCTCCATCTGACTGAGATGCCCCCCGCCCCCCGCCCAATACGAATGTACGCCATACTACGGAAGGGGGGAAAACAGAGCTCGTAGGAGAGTCAATTTCATTGATCACATTGCAGGTATCGCTCTGAACTATTCTGTTTTCCTCCACGAACATTTGAAGAATCCCACCGAAGCGATTCGCATAGCCCAGAAGACCTTCGATGACGCCGTCGCTGAATTAGACGCTGTCTCAGAGAGTCAGCACCGGGATGCAGCTTTCATACTGAAGATAATGAGGGAAAATCTCGAGTTCTGGAGAGCGAAAAGCACTCGGAAAATACCGTGATCCCATTCCTCTATGTGCACAATTTTTCACTCTCAGTAAAGTCTGCGAAGCCTCTCGACTCAAGGATGGGCAGTAATTTTCACAGCATCAAAATTGTCAGCACGGACGATCTGCCGAGTCGAGGACCGGCGGATCGAAAACAGGAAGTTCACCAATACATTCGACACCCCCTGTCAGACAAACAATGGTGATTGAAACTCGACTCCGAAATTCAGTAAGTGAATTGTACATGTCCTGTGGCGGAGTGGGCAAGCGCGGAAGTGCACACTGGTCGCGTCTGGCGATCGATGAATTCTGTGAGCAAAACCAAGCGAATGAAGAAATTCGGTATGTACTGTCAGCTGAGTCCCTGATGACCTCACATCTTGAGGTCATCTTCGTCATTCGCCCGAAAGACCTTGCGGTGACGAAAGCCAAGCTTCGAGAGAAAAAACTTTTTTTCGGAATTCCCTGCGCACATCGCTGGATAAATTCTACTCCGTTGAGGGCCGACCAGAAAAATGGAGAAATTCTTCGCGAGGATCGTGGGATCATTGATTTTCGCGATTCAAAAGAAGGCCCTCAGAGCACCTCTCATTCCCCCGAGTAACCGAATTTGATTTGATGGATCCCGCATGCTATCATGCATGCCTGCGCGCCATCTCAGCTGATCTATGTGAATGAGAAGGCTCCCAGGACCGACACTGAGCGTCGGAGGAATGATGGAGCTCCGGGAATTCGCAAGAAATCTGCGCGAGGATGCTGAGCACGTTCTCACTCAAGAGCAGCTTCGGTACTCGTGAGGTGCATTTCAGCGTGTTTCCTGTCTGGAGCTACCAGTAGCAAACGACGTTCATCAGAAAGAAGGGGCGTCCGTTAGATAAATGACATTATTTTCCGACTTGGTCGGCTGCAAAACCGACTGCGGTCGACAGCTGCTGTCGGATGCACTTGACCGAGACCGATTGGACGAAAATCGAGGATCGAAGATTTTCCTCGGGGCCCCATCGAATTCCTTCCCTCGACGAGGAACATCGTCTTTCTTACCGCGCTTCAAGTGTACAAATCATCCTTACTTTTTATCGCTGCTCATCTCTGGCGTATGCTCTCGAGGGACAGGAGCAATTATTGCAGAAAGGGCTATCGATTCGCAAGTCCTCATGACAGTCTTCCGAAGTCGTGGGCCGCGTGAAGAGCTTTCCAGATGTATACAGAGCCGATTCTTCCCTCATTCCAGCGCTGTGAGGCAAGCCGAGTCGCGAAATGCTCCCTCGTTTTCTGTCCATACGATGGATTCGGTCTTCTCGGTTTGCGATCTATGTATCTATATCGGCCTGCTTCGATTTACCAATGTAGGTTGGGCTATACGAATTTTACATGCACGTATCAGCGCCGAGGATCAGACCGCGGATACTCCGACAGCTCTTCACCCAGCCATTTCCTTTCTACGAGCTTGCGCGATACCCGATATCATCCAAATCTCCACGAGTTCTCCGAGAGCGCACCGTGATCAGATCCCTGATATGCCACATTTACCAAAGACCGAATCAGACCCAATTAGGATCTCTGGATAGATCGTGTCGGATGAAAATACCCTCCGTCCCTTAATGTGCTCAGAACTTGCGTGGACAGGACCGACTGAAAGAGTCAAGCGTATTCTGGTCAGAATGAATCTCGCTTTGCGTAGCATGAGTCTATGACCAATCGACGGTGTGGCTGAGATCCGGAGTCCGGTAGCTGCGGTGAGATCTCGGCTCGCTGAGATCCGGTCTCGATAGAGCGGCTGGATTTCCGCCGAGGCTACACTGATCGGATTTGATCGGGTGCGAGCCTCCGCGAGTCCCAAGTCCCAAGCAGACCAAAGAAGCAGGAGGCTGTGCTAGTGCTCATCCGCTGGTCTCATCTTTACTGGATGCAAGGCTGACTCATTGGAATGGTCAGGAAATAATTTACAGCGTTGTCGTCCTGTGATGCTCTCTTTGGCTTATGGTGTCCTTCGAGGTGGGACAGGCCGACCTGTTTGGCTGGAATGTATCTCGAGTCCGTGTGTCTCAATCCGGAGAAGCTCTTCTCCACAATGGGTACGACACAGCTGAACGGAGAAGTTCGATTTCGGGAGTGGACAGCACTTGATTCATCTCATTTGAGCGAGAAACTTTTCTGAATCGGTTGGGCATCAGTAGGTCGGAAGGACCAAGCCCTCTTCTTTTGCACGAGATCTTTCCGATGGAGACATGACAGCTCGACGGATGATCGATCAGTTGATTTCCGATACTGACGATGACTCTTCCCGCGGAGTTATTGAAGGTGCTCCTTCCCTTCCCCTCTCTTGGGCGGCCCGCTCGCCGAAATCCTTACCTGGCACGAGAGCAGAGAATCTTGGCGGCAAATGTCACACAGATGAAATCGTGGCCCGGTCGCAATGCTACGCTCACTGTCGCCGGGAGAAGCATCCGAATTATCCAATACCTAGCGGTTTTCTTCTGTTCCCAAGCTGAAGTGAGCCTTGGAATGTTTTGTGCTGTCTTCTCCGCACAATGAAGGCGGTGGGCAATCCATAGAGGAATTCATGAATATACCGTGACAGTGCCGCCCCCGCAAGAAGTGACGACGACAACAAGGTGAGTTATTGGGCAGTATAGAATGAAACTGTGGGCGAGAAAAGCTCCTGCATTGGATCCAATACCTGCACCAGCGATTAAAGATCCGAATGAGCAGCTCCGACTTGGCTCATCCGCGTAGCTTCGTTCATAAATTAACTTGGTGTTCTTGTGCGAATTTATTTCGGCACGGAACTTGTTCTGCTCGAATCGTTTCCCGCGTTCACTTCCCGAATCCGAGGGAAAGTCGATGCGACCAATGGAACGTATGAGGGTTGGCGTAGCTGTGCGGAAAGAATGGAGAGACAACAAAAGTAGTGCTCCTCGTTAACGATCCAAGCCTGCACTTCCACGGAGGGATCTCGTCAATGTTGAGAGACGAGCTTTGCTGGTCAACTAGGCAACTAGGCTTGTGATCCACGGTACCTGAAGGCCTGGATAAGATGGATGTGATCCCGAGAAGCGAGCCCTCCACTCGGCCTTCCGGAGGGATCTATGTTTTTCCATCAGCATAGGCCAAGATTATGTTGCCGCCTTCGCAACCTACATATTACTCTAGGTCTCGATGGGAGAGGCGACTGAACTTCGGAAAATTGTGACTGACTGTCTGTCAGTGCCCTTCTCGGCTCTCCCGAGTTGCTGGATCAGGGCAAAGAGGGAGCTCGTGAAAGCCTAAATATCGGATGTGATCCGAAGTTATCCCACGCCGCGAAAATTCTCCGTTTCATCTCAGCCGTGCACTCCACGTCGCGCAGGTCGGTTTTCGTTCCTGACCGAAGACCGCGACTTCTCCCATCAAATAATGTCGTGAGAGTCCGAATCAATGACGAGTATTGAGCGGAGAAGCACAGGGCTCGCTCGATCGGTCGTTAGATACATTCTCTACACTGCGTCTCGGGATCGATTGTCGATTGGCAATCCCTAGACAAAGAATCACTTTATCGAGTGGTTCTTTGTGATGAGCTCTCGACGTCGAACGTGTTCGTGAGGGCGTCATCGCGGACACGCAATCGTCACCGTGAGCCATGAACCTGGTATGGGGATGATAATATCACAACGACAGCGATGTTTCACCAAAAAATTTCAATCCTCCGAGGGAGAAGTCCGGTGTGGATACAATAGAGACGCATCAGCCTCGCCGTGCGAGCGGGATAGGCTCCGGCAGCCCGTAGATTGCCTACCTCCACAAACCATCGAATCCATTGAATAGGCAATCCGAGTCATTCAATGTTCTCATTGAGGAATATGGGCTGAAGGAATTCCAGAATTCTGGGTGATCCGTCTGAATATAAGAATACTGATTAAGGAACGCAGACCAGCGTTCATCCATCGGTATTTAGCGGCTCGCGCGGAATTCTCCAAGTTCTCCTCGAGGATCCGTATCATGATCCCGTTCGGTTTTTTTTCTTCCCCGACGCGGTCGACATCGGAATCGACTCGCGACGCAGGGCTGACAGGTAAAAACAGCCGAAGCCGTTCTAACGATTGTCGTGTACGTCTTCAGAGGCCCCACGGTGTACTCTCCCTTCACGAGGAACATTTTCTGTGGGTCGAGGGTCAGGTGGTAATAGCTACCACTGATAAGAGTTTTCTCACGTAATTTGGAGCTCGAGGGCAAGCCCTGCTTGCAGCTACTGCGACCCCCGCCCCGGGATGATTGTCGTCGTAGGGTCTCTGCGAGAAAGCTTCTCAGCGAGTGAGACAGCTCAATTGTTCAGTTGTGCCGTCAGCGGCAGGAAAATTCGTTTCTGAGGCATGAAATCGTCGATAAGGAGCTTCAATCAAATCCGCGCCGTCGACGGACCGGAATGAAGGTCTGTATTGTATGCTCTACTCGGAGCAGGTTTGAGAGCGAAGCTGAAGATAGTGTAATATCACGTGTATTCTCCGATGAGCCCAGCTTCCAGTTATTGTCAACGCAGATAGAATCCGGAAGGTTGACGTCCAACACACTCGTACGGAAACGGAGCTGATACTTTCTGCCATCCGCTTTTCCGATTTCTCGAAGATCGTTCCTCGGTGTTGAGATTCCGGGCTCAAACCTCGAATCCCCATGCTGCGAGCCCGAGAAATTCCATGAGGACATTGCTGGTGCGAAGCGTTCTCAGAGAAGAAAGCGCTTCGGGCGAATCATTGAACTTGAGGTACTGATCCGCACAAAGCGCCGAGGATCTCCACACGCACCTCATGCTTACCGGTCGACTGGATACGCCAAAAGAATCAATGACCAGCGGGTTGGCGCTCGATGCGTTCAGAAGCTTCGCTTTCGCTCCAGGCTCCGGGGGTAAATCGGAGAGAGGCGAGCATCGTCCCTCAACTCTGTTCTGCACAGCTGGTGAAACGTTGCTTGGTCTCAGAGACAACAACATCCGCAAATGTCCACCAGGAAAAAGGTACGATCTAATTGAGCAACCCTATTAG